CCTGTAGTGATTATAGCTGTCCCCTACAAACATGAGTCAAGGCTGCAAGTTAGAGGGTCAAGAAGATCTGATGTTTAATGGCACACACTCTGCTTTTATGAGATTCTGCCCATGCAAGGGAGACACCCACATAATTAGCAGTATAACCAATCGGAACAATATACATTCGGGGAAATTCCCATCCCTCAGATAATCACATAACATAATTAAAACAGAACAGTAAAAATACAGTTTTTATACATGTACTATAACTTCCAAACTACACATCCAATCTTCATAAAAATTACATATTTGGAATCAATCCATTCAGGGGAGCAACATATTAAAAATCAGATCAGACAAGGGGTTCAAAAGTTAGCAAAAGTATCTTTTGGGGCCTGGCTGGCAGCATGGTTTTCTGGCCCAAACCGGTTTTACAGAGGCCTCTATCCTGGACAATGGGGAAAGTAATCCAATTATCCAGGGATAGAGGCAGACTCCATTAACCACATGTTAGCAAAAGACAGCAAAAGACACAAAAATGCATAACTCCTATTGAACTGAACAGAACCCCCACATTCAACCTATCCCCAGATGGCTTGGATCTGAGCGCTCAATATATCCAAACAGCGCTCAGATCCCACAAATACAGTCAAATCGCCATACACACTAGGTCCAAAGTCATGGGGCAGAAGGCTGGCAATTAGGCTTCTCCATAACACAGGGAAGCAGGGCAATTTGTCAAATAAAATAACAGTTACAAATGGCAGTTTGTAACACTGCCCACAGGGTTTTACATAACAACCAATAACACACGTACATTACAGAAAGACACTCCCACACAAAATCCTCCCCTCTGGCTGTGATATGATTACTGAACACAATGGTTAATCTAATTATCACAGCCAGAGAAATACAGTTTTTCCACATTATTCATAACTTGAAAAGTATGCATCACATTCACATAAATCACATTCACATTACATTTTCAGAATCAGCATACTCCAAATACAAACATATGTCAAAATCATACATATTGGTCAAGTGGTTCAAAAGTTAAGGAAAAGTCCTCTTTGATCAAATGCAGCATGGCTTTTCTGCCCAAAACCAGTTCCACAGAGTCTTCTATCCTGGAGATAATTGGGGAAGTAATCCAATTATCTCCAGGACAGAGGCAAAACTCCATTAGCCACATGGCAGCAAAAGACAATAAAACACATAAAACATATAACTGTGCAGCCATTGCACAAAACAGGTACATTCAACATATCCCCAGATAGCTCAGATCTGAGCGCACATTATTACTGAATGGCGCTCAGAGCACACACATACAGTTCAATTGCCATGGAGCCAAAGTCTTTCCCATAGTCTTTCATTATACAAATGGGCTCCATGGCATAGCTATCTGGGTAACACTGCTCACATAGGGAAAGTACCGAAAGACCCAGCTTTTGGGTCTTTGCAGGGGAAAATCCATCCTTTCAACATGGGGCCATAGTCACAGGGCAGGAGGCCGGCAATCAGTCTTCTCCAATGCCCAGTGGCGAGGCTGGTTCCGCCACAGTCACAATATGTCCCCAGACGGTTCTTAAAGGTCCATACACATCAGGTTCATAGTCATGGGGCAGAAGGCTGGCAATGAGGCTTCTCCATAATACAGGAAAGCAGGGCAATTTGTCGCATAAAATAAAAGTTACAAAAGGCATTTTGTAACAATAGTCCCTTAGCTTCACTGAGCTCTTGTAAGAGCTTGTTCCTGTTCCTGCTACTCTCTCTGGGGAAAGAGAGGTTCACCCACTGGAACCTGGAGCTTTGTCACAGGTCCAGGGTGGGTAGGAGACTGCGAGACCCCAACCAAGCTGCGGCGGATTGTGGGGTCTGCGGTGGTTATTGTGTCTGGTGCGGTGCTGATGGTCCTTGATGAGTGCTTGGAGCATCCTTTCTACGGTCCAACCCTCAGCTAGCCTGGGGCAACCGTAACAAAGCTCTTTTAAGAGCTTATTCCTGCTACTCTCTCTTGGAGGAGAGGTTCACCCACTGGAACCTGGAGCCCTGTTGTAGGTCCAGGGTGGGTAGAGGACGGCGAGTTCCCAGCCAAGCTGTAATGCTGGATGTGGGGACTGCGGTGCTGATGGTGTCTGGTGAAGTGCTTGGAGTCCTCGGGGAGCACTAGGAGCAACCGTCGGCGGAGGTACCCAAGCAGGGTACAGGAAGCTCTGTTACACACAGGATTCTCCCCCTTTGAGTTACTATTTGGGAGACAGGTAAGGGGACCCTTAGACCTTATCCGGGAACATTAGGAGGGAGAACGTAGCCAGGATGGTACCCCCATCGTGTCATATGTGCTGGAGTTCAGGGACCGACTGGAGGAGTTGACTAGAATGGTACGGAGCATCCCAACAGCGCCAGCGCACATGGTACGATCGGGGAGTCAGGGATCGTAACTTCCAGGTAGGACAGAAAGTTTTAGTTTTAAAACCTGTCGGACCTGACAAGCTACAGGCTGCCTGGCAGGGCCCATACAAAGTGATGGAGCAGATATGCGACACCACTTATGTGATCAGCCCGTGCTCTGGGTCGGGAGGGCGACGCATGATCCATGTAAACATGCTAAAGCCCTACAACGAGCGCTCAGAGGAGGTGACAGCGATCTGTGCCCTTGCCTCTGAAGACTTTGACAACCTTCCCCTTCCAGACCTCTCACGGGACAGGAACCAATCTAGTGAAATAGAAGGTCCAGCTGGGAGATCGGTTGAGCCCACAAGAGCGCAGCGAGGTACAGCAACTCTTAAGAGAGAACGTACCTGGACACACTCCTTGGGCAACTCCCCCGGTAGAGACACCCGTTCAACTCCCTATGTGTCAGACCCCTACCGAATCCCTGAGTCGGTACGGGAAAACATGCGCAAGGAGATCCAAGAGATGCTCCAATTGGAGGTAATCGAGTCTTCTGACAGCCCCTGGGCCTCCCCTGTAGTCCTCGTACTGAAACAGGATGGTACGACCTGGTTTTGCGTGTACTACTGCAAGTTTAACGATAAGACCGTGTCAGATGCATACTCCATGCCTAGGATAGATGAGCTATTAGACAGGATGGCCCGGGGCCAATACCTTACAACAATTGATCCTTGTAACAATTGATCCTTGGCAGATCTCCCTGGCCCCTGAAGCCATTCCGAAGTCGACCTTTGTAACGCCATTCGGCTTATACCGTTTAGGATGAAAAACGCTCCGACTACCTTTCAAAGAATGGTGGACTGCCTCCTAGATGGGTTCCAAGACTACACTTGCGGCCCTTTAGATGACATTGCTATCTTTAGCAATAGCTGGCAGGAGCACTTAACCCATATAAGAGTGGTCCTAGATAGAATTAGAGAAGCCAGCTTAACCCTGAAGCCGGCTAAGTGCAGTATAGTCATGGCCGAGGTGCAGTACCTCAAGCACAGAGTAGGATGTGGGCAGCAGAAGCCTGAGCCCGCTAAGGTGAAAGCCGTGGCCGATTGGCCAACTCCCGAAGGTGTTAGCATTTTGTTATATATTTCAATGCACCTCGTGTGCGGTCGGTAAAACTAGGACATCCATAAAACTTTCAAACCCCTGAACCGATCTGCGTGATTTTTCAATATGTTGCTCCCCCAGATCGGGGCTATCAGGGAATGTAGGATAAGTTTTTTGGTTGTTTTCAGAAAAGTATGAAAAGTGTGATTTTTCTGATTTGGGATAATTGAGTTGATACAGTAATTAACTAAATTTTCCCCTGAGCAGAGGGGAGGGATTGTATACAGTATATGGGAGTGTCTTGTAACTTAACTCTGTTTTTACTGGTTGATGTATATTTTTATCAGTGCCCCACAAGGTCCACCTGGGTGGTAACCTTTGGTGCAAAATCTGCATAAAAGGCCAGCCTGGCCATTAAAGGATCAGTTCTGCTTCTGATACAGAGTGTCGTCCAGTTATTGGGAAGGGTGATGGGATATTCGTGGATTATCTTGTATTTATGCCTGCTGTCTTGGAGTTTCCAGCTTGTTTCTGTAGCTATTGGAGTAACCAGCAGAGAAGAAGCCCTGCTACCACTATTCTCCACTACACATCGTTATCGTACACTACGCTATCCATTCATGCAAATAGTTTATATAGAGAGTGGCCGTGCAATCTATCCTCTCTTTCTTGGTTATATCGTACCGTTACTGTATCACAGTTTCTGTACAACAAGCATGTCAAACTCAAAGTCTGGCACGGGCCACATAAACAAGGTTTAAGTTTATGTGGGCCGCAAAAAAGAAATATCTTACATTTTCATAGAAACGTAGGTTTATTTTAAAAAGTACAGTATAAACAAAAACCAGCAACCCCCTCTATTAAATCCCAGTTCCCCCCTCTACCACCCTGGGCCAAATCTGATCCTCCCGCTGACACACACACATATTCACTAACAGACAAACTGACACTCACACACTGACAGACACACACACATACTCACTGAGATACACACTCATACTGACAGACACACACACATACTCACCGACAGACACACACTCACATTCACACTTTACTTTATTGCTCCCTACCTTTTGGAGCCGATGTGGAGCATCTCCCTGAGGTCCTTCTATCTGCTCCTCACTGCTCCCGCGTGCGGTTTAGGGATGCTGGGTGCCAGAATATGACATCATATTCCGGCGCCCGGTTTCACTACAGATAGCGCGAGGAAGCAGGAACACTAAGCTCCCTCGCTGCTGGCCCTCACCCCCGGCCGGGTAAGTGTTAGCAGAGTAGGCACCTGCAATATGGGGAAAGCAGGTGCCTACTCTGCTATAACACCATTATGTACTCGCGGCTCGCTGGGCTGCAAAGATGGGCTGCGAGTTTGACATGCTTGCTGTACACTATCCATTCATGTGCTTACTATTGATTGTTGGTTAATTAGCTAATTAGGGTTGTGATCAGTAGCTTGGCTAATATAGCTTGGTTGCTAATGGTGTTATGGAGACATTCTCAGGCACCAGGTGTAGTGGTGTTGTGGAGTCAGGCTTAGGCTCAGGCACTGAGGGTAGTGGTGTTATGGAGACAGGCTTGTAGACTATGGTGAGGCCTAATAGAAAACAGTTGTTGTTGGGGGATTCTATCATAAGAGGTGTGGAGATGGACAATGGTGGTCTTGTGATATGTCTTCCCAAAGCTACTGCTCACAGAGACAGGAGATGTATTTGTAATATTGTTAAGCGAGCAACGCAGGAAGGGGAATTGGATGTACTTGTCCATCTAGGGTTGCAATGAGGTTTCAGAGGTTAAGGAAGTTTTTAGTGTTTTTGCCAGATATATACTGAAGCGGATGGCATTGGACTGTCCTCCAGGATTGTGTTTAAAAGATTGTTCGTGTGTTTAGCTTACTGTATAATTGAAATTGTATGTGGAATTCGTATGCTTGTTCGGTAGTTTCCATTCATATTTCATACGAATGGAAACTACCGCGTCAATAGACCACCCCAGAGAGAAGTGTGTACCTCATTAAGGTTTTCACACTTCTCTAACCACAGTTAATCAGTGTTTTATTGCTATATGTCGGTGGCCGCCATTCGGTAAGTGAACAAGTGGCGGCGGCCATCTTACACACGAACTCTCAGCGGTGTTTGTTCGTCAAGTGTCTGGAACTCAAATCAGCCACTCGATTACCCTAACACCGCTGAGACTTCCAGAGCTCCAGAACTCCCGAACGGAGGGGCTAATCAACCCCTCGTTCGGTGAATTCAATCTAACGAACAAAGGGATTCCTGCGAACGCAGTATTAGCAATGGATGGCAAAGATTAGTGACTGTTTTACCTCCCGAACGTAGACCGACCGCAGAGCCAAAACACATGGAACCCTTTTCGGCTACCCCTTCGTGTGGTCGGTCAAATAGTTTATTCCCCATAACTCCCGAACCCCTGGTCTGATGTGGGTGAATTTTGAGTATGTCAGGGCTACCAGAGGATGCCACTTAGATCCTTGTATCCCACAGTTTTGGGGTACATCCAGAAAACAGGGAAAACTGTACCAGGAATAAGTGGATTAAGTGTCACACTGAGGAGAGGGAATGTATGTACCACTGAGGGGAGGGAATGTAATTATTGTAAATCCCTCCCTTGCATGGGAGAAACCTTTATAAGGAACTGCTGTGATTAAAAGTTTAGTTCTGCTCCTGTGCTGTGTGTCGTCCAGTCATTGGGATTGTGATTGGGATATTGTTGGAGTATTCTGCCTGCTGGAAATATTACCTTGTGGATTTATAATACTTGTTCCTGAGCCTTACTGGGATCTAAAGTGGAGATAGGCTGTGTAAGACCAGCTCTCCGCTACATATACTGCAGGTTGCTTCCACACTGTCATTCTCTGAAGTTCTGCCTGTGCATAACACTCAGAGCGACAGGCGGATGCGTATTAGGGACTTTAACTTGTGGCTTGGTGAATGGTGTCGGGAGCAAGGATTTGGCTTTATTTCTCATGGTAGCTCTGTTTGGAATGGAAATAAACTGTACAAAAAAGATGGTTTGCATCTTTCTCAAAAGGGAACAAATGTTCTCAGTGAGCACTTCAGAGGTTTTGCTAGTATGAATTTAAACTAGGAGGGGCAAAAGGGTGATAAAACATCAATCCAATTGTCCCCCAAAACAAGGACAGAAGGTGCCTGTAGCAAGTGTGTTAAAAAATTATAAGCTTAGAGTCATGTCTACAAATGCTCGCAGTTTAGGGAATAAGATCCATGAACTTGTGGCAATAATGGCAACTAATAATGTAGATTTAGTCGCTGTTACTGAGAGATGGTATAATGAGAAAAATGACTGGGACATAGCAATACCAGGGTACTCTTTATATAGGAAAGATAGGGAAGGCAAGAAAGGGGGAGGGCTGGCCCTGTATGTGAAGGATAGCAGAAAATCTAGCCTAATAAAAGGTAGTGAGGCAAACAGAGTCCGTTTGGGTTACGTTAGAATTTGGTAATCACACAGGAGAAATAGAAGAGTAAGATATTCTAGTTGAGGAAGTAGCTAAAATGACAATGAAGGGGGAAGATATTATCATGGGTGACTTTAATCTTCCTGATATGTATTGGAAAAGCAAAATCGCCCCTTGCATGGGGACTTGCATAAAAGGCCAGTTGTGGCTACCAATAAACCAGTTCCAGTTTACCCTTAGCCTCATCTCGTGCTTGTAGGGGAAAGCTATACCAGCTATAATCCCTGCTCTTGGGATTGTTCCTTGGATTGCTATAATCACTAGCTCTTTTAAGAGCTACATTGCTATACTCTCTTGGAGGAGAGGTCTTCCCACTGGGAGCTGGATCCAGGTGTTGGTCCAGGATGGAAAGGGACAGCGAGACCCCAGCCAAGCTACTCCGGCTAAGGAGCTACAGTGCTATTGGTGTCCGATGGAGTGCTGGAAGTACTCAGAATTACTAGGAAGCAGTGATTGGCGGAGGCACCCGTTCAGGGTGTCAGATGGTCTGTCACATAATCCAAGCAACTTCATGGAACTAATTTCAGGGATGTACAGAGCCACGAGCCCTGCACTTTAGATGATTTCTCGGGCCCTGTGCACCCGGCTATTTGCAGTGATCCTAGTGGGGACCAGGGGCTATGTCGCAAAGTATGTACCTGTGTACTGTTGGTATCTCCCAGAGTGGAAGATGGCTGTGACGAGACCAATCTTGCCACATTGCATTGGAGGAGCCTGGTTGCCCACCTGCTGCCTTTGGATTATGGACCGGCAGCTAAAGGGTTAATTTTACTGTGCAGAAGGATTTATTTCTCCCTTTCTGCACAGCCGTTCGGTAGATTCTATCTACCGAACAAACAGTTTCTTTTCAGCCTCCCCAGAGCCGTGGGAAGCCGGCCGGCGACCTTAATTGGCCACCCAGAAGCTGGAGTACGCCCTCCATTTACCTCCCTGAAGCCGTGGTTAACCGCGGCTTAACGAGCGTGTGCCGGCAATTGACCACCCAGTAGCTGCGGTTAACCGCAGCTTAATTGATTGTTACTGGGTGGTCGCGGTTACACTTAGCCGCCACACGATGGCGGTGTTCTGGAGCTCCCCGGGCAGCCAGCGCTTTTCTGCCCGGCTTTCCTGCATCAAACCCGGACACTTTTACGTGCAGGCACCGCTGAACCTCCATCCCCTGGTTCTAATTCGTACGGATTTAACGAATGCATGTAAATTCGGTATTTTGTGTTGGGGGAATGTTTTAACCCAGATAGCTATGCCATGGAGCCTGTTCGTGGAATTAAAGACTTTGGCTCCACGGCAATTAAACTGTATTTGTGTGGTCTGAGTGCCATTCACCTAATAATGTGCACTCAGACCTGAGCTATCTGGGGATATGTTACATGTATATATTTACTGTACCATTTGTCCCATTATGTATTTTAAAGTGATAGTCTGTCTTTGTGTCCCCACGTGTGTAATGGAGTTTTGCCTTTGTCCTGGAAGATAATTGAATTACTTCTCCAGGGCAGAGGGGAGGAAGCCAGGATGCACTGTGGGGATGTTTTACTTCTGTATGTCTGTAATTGGTACATGTCTGTCTTTTGTTACAGTCTTCCATCTGGTCCCCTAGGGGAGTGTCCACCAGGTGGGAGACCTGCATATTACTGGGCAGGTAGCCCTCATTAAACAGACCACTGCTTGACCCTCAACACGGAGCCTTGTCTCGTCTTTGGGGGGATTTACTGTATGCTGATAGAGACTGATTGCCAGGAGTGTAAGCCGCTTGGGTGCTTTTCCTGTTCGTCTGCTAGCAGCTATTCGTGAGGTTCCAGTTCGAGTGTTAGGAGCATACCCTTGTATGCAGTTCGAGTGTTTGGAGCATTCCCTTGTATGCAGTTCGGGTGTTTGGAGCATTCCCTTGTATGCAGTTCAGGTGTTTGGTGCATTCACTTGTATTCAATTCGTGAGTTTTGGTGATTCTACAGTAGCTGTGCCTGTCTCTGAAAGGGGATTATCGTCTAAGCGGTTTTTCCCCCTTTTGTGCAAAACGGTCCGTTACAATGGCTATCTGTAATCCAGCCCCCTCCTGCCTGGGATTGTGTTGTCCTGAATGGAGACCCCCCGTGGGGGTCTGTGCATAAAAGAAACCTGTTTTCAATAAATATTGTCAGTGTTTTAACCTACAGAACTGTGTCTTGTCTGGTTAATGGAGGGAGGGAAGATTTAACCCCTGTGGCTGCTGTTCCAGCTTGCAGGGGGTGCAATGGGGAAAGTCTGTGTTAGGAGTAAGAGCTTCCAGGAGTGCTGTCCCTTCCTGGGAGCGCATAGAGCCAAGTCCCCTAACCATGTAAGAGTTCCTGATCGGCTGAAGGAAGGGAACTAGCAGAGGTAATCGGTCAGTTTACCAGGTGTCCTGCTACACTGTGTCACCATGTCCGTACACTATCGATTTATGTAAATAGTTTAGACGTAGCGGGGCTGTGCAATCTAGCCTCTCTCTCCTGGTTATATTATACTGTTAACGTGTCACCATTTCCGTATACAATACCTTCATGTAAATAGTTTATACAGAGAGCAGCCGTGCAATCTATCCTTTATCCTGGTTATATCATACCGTTACTGTAGCAGAGCTGCAATATTACCATCAATATCTCCGCTGGCAGACTTGTACAACATCCAAGAAAAGCGTAGTTCGGAAATATTATCCAAATTCCCAACTAACCGGACGATACACAGTTTTGGGAGTCAACTGGTTTTAATTGAGCCACAGCTGGATTTTATACAGTTCCCCATGTAAGGGGTTTCTTTAATTACATTCCAGGGGCTTTCCCTTGGTGGACCTTGTTGGGGACAGGGAACACAGTCACATTTCCCAGACTCCTTTTCTGTACTTGGAAGATAATTGAGTAAGGACAATTCTTTAATTAGATTATCTTCCACGTACAGAAAAATAAACAATATTTCAAACCATCATAGCTAATTCATATTAGTCAGAGCTCCACGAAAGATACTTCACCGAATAGCAGGAATCCGAGCGCCCACTCTGTCGAAATACCGCTCAGATCCATTTGGTAGAATGGGAACGCCATTCGAGTGAAGTTTAGACCGGTCAACCACGAGACGAAGCCGCAAAATTGTTCCAGGTGGTTGTATGCTTTGACCGGTCTTCTTTCAGGAGTGTTCACCATTAAAATAACAAATGCAACTGTTTATGTAATAGGTGGTCGTGTGCCTTGAGCTTGTTCATTTCGTTCATTCAAATGCCGCTCTGTATATGTGAAGAGGAATGAACATATAAATGAAAGGATGGAAGTTCAGCGGTGTTCGCGCCGTCGAGTGTCCGATTATAGTTCCACTCGACAAACAAACACCGCTGTCTGTTCATGAAAAAAGTTGGCAGCCGCCATGTGTTCGGTCATACGAATGACATCCACCCATCCGACCACTTAGAATCTTGTGGTTTCTCGGTGTTAATACAGTCAATTGGAGGCACACGACTCCCTTGGTGGTCTCACTGTTCGGTAGTTGGTTGGACTGACGAACAATATGTCTTTAGTCTTTTCAGGAACCCCGTATTGTCGAACCGACTCAGTCTTGCATACAAATAAGTGGCTAGTTTTGCCACAGTTACCGTACGCTATCCATAAATAGTTTATACAGAGAGCGGCCGGACAATATCCATTCATGTAAATAGTTTATACAGAGAGCACCCATGCAATCTATTCTTTCTCCTGGTTATATTATACCGTTACTGTGTTACTGTTTCCGTACACTATCCCTTCACGCAAATAGTTTATACAGAGAGCGGCCGTGCAATCTATCCTCTCTCCTGGTTACATCGTACTGTTACCGAACGCTATCCATTCATGTAAACAGTTTACATGAATGGATATTGTCTGGCCGCTCTCTGTATAAACTGTTTACATGAATGGATAGCGTTCGGTAACATTACGATGTAACCAGGAGAGAGGATAGATTGCACGGCCGCTATCTGTATAAACTATTTACATGAAGATATTGTATATGGAAATGGTGACACGGTAACGGTATAATATAATCAGGAAAGAGAGGATAGATTGCACAGCCGCTCTAAGTCTAAACTATTTACATGAATGGATATTGTCTGGCCGCTCTCTGTATAAATAGTTTAGACTTAGCGCGGCTGTGCAATCTATCCTCTCTTTCCTGATTATATTATACCGTTACCGTGTCACCTTTACCGTATACAATATCTTCATGTAAATAGTTTATACAGAGAGCGGCCGTGCAATCTATCCTCTCTCCTGGTTACATCGTACTGTTACCGAACGCTATCCATTCATTTAAACAGTTTATACAGAGAGCGGCCGGACAATATCCATTCATGTAAATAGTTTAGACTTAGCGCGGCTGTGCAATCTATCCTCTCTTTCCTGATTATATTATACCGTTACCGTGTCACCATTTCCGTATACAATATCTTCATGTAAATAGTTTATACAGAGAGCGGCCGTGCAATCTATCCTCTCTCCTGGTTACATCGTACTGTTACCGAACGCTATCCATTCATGTAAACAGTTTATACAGAGAGCGGCCGGACAATATCCATTCATGTAAATAGTTTAGACGTAGCGCGGCTGTGCAATCTATCCTCTCTTTCCTGATTATATTATACCGTTACCGTGTCACCATTTCCGTATACAATATCTTCATGTACATAGTTTATACAGATAGCGGCCGTGCAATCTATCCTCTCTCCTGGTTACATCGTACTGTTACCGAACGCTATCCATTCATGTAAACAGTTTATACAGAGAGCGGCCGGACAATATCCATTCATGTAAATAGTTTAGACTTAGCGCGGCTATGCAATCTATCCTCTCTTTCCTGATTATATTATACCGTTACCGTGTCACCATTTCCGTATACAATATCTTCATGTAAATAGTTTATACAGAGAGCGGCCGTGCAATCTATCCTCTGTCTCCTGGTTATATTGTACCGTTACCGTGTCACAGTTTCCATACGCTATCCATTCATGTAAATAGTTTAGACAGAGTGCGGCCATGCAAACCATCATCATTCCCAGTTGTATTGCATAGTTGTCTGTCGTCAGACTATAAGTTTATTTGTGGAGAAAATCACCATATTTGTGTTTGGCCGACATGTTTTATTATGATTACATGTATTGTATTGGATTTACGCAGTTCCACAGAACATGTTGACACAATGCAGATGAAAATCTATTAATTGTAAAGACACACAAGACCCAGCTGGCTTCTATTTACTGAATCAGATGAGCAGGGATGAAAATAATAAAAATATTTTCTTATACAGCTGAAAGTCCATTAAAAAAGGAAAGAAAAAAAATCCCAAACCAGACCTTACCCATTTTTATGCAGCAGAGACAATAGAGAGAACATGTTCTTCAGTTCACTTTAAAGCCACAACATCACAAACTCATTCTATTTCTCCCCACTCCCCATCCAAAAAACAAACTGAGAAGGGATCAGGCTAATAAGTAAGAGTACATTTTAATAAAGAGACTTAATATTATTAAAAGATAAAAACTGGCCATTTAGTGTTTAGTAAAGAACACGTGTAGTGCAGACCAACAACTTGCGCCCGCAAGGACAACTCTGATCACTCACCTGCGTGCACATGTAAGTTACTACTGGCGAAGAGTTATGTATTCTATAGCTACACACACATATTACATTCCCAGCAGGATAACAGGTGTGAGCGAGTCTCCATAGTCATTTCATTAAAATAATACATGCCTTCCATTTCACAATGTGTCACCGGGTGACAGGGCAGCCAACCATAGTCATTAAACCGTGTGCGATTTGCAACACAAAATTAGGCTTACAAATTGATTGGTCCCTAAATTGGTCCTTTATATACCTGCTGTAAAGTCCCCATCAGGCTTGCTACCCTTTAAAATCTAAATTAATATTTTATTGACTGTACCAGCCTGCTGCCCCTCAGCAGATTCAGTAAGAGTTGAGAAAGGTTCCATGCTAGGTGTATGTTTTCATGTAGTTCACTCGAGATTATATTGGACCACATGGACTATCCTTTGTTCCACAAGATAAGTCAAGTCAAGTGGATGTGCCCATGTAGGACAATTGCCATGCTGTGGGAGTGGGACTTAGACCTGGCAAACAATGATAAATATTAATAAAAGCTTGACAATGGACAGATAGACATGGAGTTTAAGGAAATTGTACAATGTTTCTCAAAATAAGCCATTTCACAAGAAGCTGGACTCCATCCAAAGTAATGGAAAGAAGGTTGGAAGAACTACATACAGGCTCCTTCCACGGTGTGCGACCTTTGATGAGTGACTAGTTGGTAGCTCCAACAAAAACTCCGCCCACACTCGATACAGGTGTAGGGTTTCTCCCCAGTATGTACTCTTTGGTGTCGGACGAGCTGGTAACTCCAGCTAAAGTTTTTCCCACACTCCATACAAGAATAGGGCTTCTCACCAGTGTGAGTTCTCTGGTGCTTATTGAAGTCCGAGTTCCGGCTGAAGTTCTTGCCACAGATCATACACTGAAAGGGCTTTTCATCACTATGAGTCACGCGGTGTCTGTCACAGCCCACCTTATCAATGAAGCATTTCCCACATTCGGGGCAGGAATAAGGCTTTTCTCCTGTGTGTATCCTCTGGTGTGTGACCAACACAGACCTCTGGCTGAAACTCTTGCCACATGCCGTACAGGTGTACGGCTTTTCTCCTGTGTGTATTCTCTGATGCATGACCAGTTTGGAACTCTCGCTGAAGCCCTTGCCACAATCATTGCAGGTGTACGGACGCTCCCCGGTGTGAGTTCGCTTGTGAGTGATGAGGTGTGAGCGCACACTAAAGCTCTTTCCGCAATCACTACATGTGTAAGGACGTTCTCCTGTGTGTGTTCTCTGATGTATGACAAGCTTGGAGCTCTCGCTGAAGCTCTTGCCGCACTCTATGCACGTGTAGGGCCTCTCACCGGTGTGCGTTCTCTGGTGTCTGACAAGCTGCGAACTCTCACTGAAACGTTTCCCGCAGTCTGGGCAAGCAAATGGCTTTTCACCTGTATGTATCTTGTGATGTCGGATCAGCAAAGAGCATGAGGTAAAACTCTTGCCACATTCAATGCAGGGAAATGGTCTCTCTCCTGTGTGGTTGCGATGGTGCTGAATGAGCAACGACTTTTGGCTGAACCTTTTCCCACATAATGTGCACAAGAATGGCTTCTCTTTTACAGCCGTTCCTTTCTTTGAGGTGACAGACATATTCGAGTAGTAATTTTGTATTCCATGTTGCTCCTTAGTGTCGGTTTGTCTTAACTCAGGTGATAGAGAGAGACCACTCTGAGAATATATTGTAGTAAATGTACTCGGTGGACTACAAGACTGGCCATCAGAGGATCCAGCCTTTTCTTCACTTTCAGCACATTCTGACACTGATGAGTAGGTATCTGGGAGTGTTAGACTCCTGCGCACAAGGGGTGAGGTCATCTCCGAAGGTAAAAGTGACACAGTTCTAAAATTAATAGAAAGTCTCTCAGGTGAGCTCCTTGATGGATTTTTGTGGGTCTTAGTAGGCTTTCGTCGACGTCTAGCTTTCTCTTCTCCGGGACTTTGTTGGGATAGGACCTTTTCCTGATTTTCTGTTTGAACAGAAACATTTCCATCTGTAGACTTTGTTTCTGAGGAGACAAATATGCAACAAAGAATAAGAAAAAGTAAGTAGCCCCACAGTCACACAACCAATCTATGGATCAGCATGAATAATGCAGAATTCTATTCAAAATTCAGGGTGGATTCTCCAACTATTACAATTCCCTCATTATAAAGTAGGCTAGATTTGATCATAAGCCGTTCAAGGTATACTCCCACAAAGACCACCTCTGCTTTTAAGTGTTCATGGTGGTTAGAGTCTGTGGCAAACCTAGCCACTTGGACTAAACAGAGACAATATGTTTTAAGGGTTGCCTGTATCTTTAATACCATTGTATATGTGTCTGGTTGTAATCTGCTGTATCCTGTATGCTGTATGGCTTGTATTGGCTATCTGCCGAAAGCAGATAGTCATTTTCTATTTCGTTTCACGAACGGCACCTTTGTGAGCCGTTCGTGAACGGAATGAACTATCTTTTAATAACCCACACACTAAGGGACGTGTGGCGCTTGTTAACCGATTGCATCGATGTTGCAATCGGTAATTAGAGGCTCTCCTAGGTGGCCACCGCTAGGCTACCGACCACGCAGCGGTCGGCCATCTTGGATCCTTTGTTCCCTAGTGGTGTTTGGTCGTCGAGCGCATGGAACTGAAAACGGCTACTCGATGGCGCGAACACCGCTGGGCTTCCAGACCGTTCGGTAGTTTGGTCCATCTATGTCAATCGGTACTTTTAACTTGTGTTATAAATAATGTGTTTTTCGTGCGGCGTTCAGTTGTTTTAGCTGGGATCTGAGCGGTATTCTCACGAACGGTGTGCTCAGACTCCAGCTATCTACCGTACGTCCATTCGTTTAAATAGACCAAGTACAAGAAAAGTTATGTATTTTAAAGTGAATCGCCGGTTCTGCTGCACGGAGGGATAATCCACATAACGGTATATTCCAGTGGGAGTATCCCTCTCGTGCAGCAGTGCCTGATGGGAGAAATGCCCAGAATGTTAAGTCCCCCATGTAGTCCCCTACTGTATTACCCCTGCAATGACAGTAGGGAAACCCCTTGCATGGGGACTTGCAAATAAAGACCTCAGTTGACTCCCAGAACTGTGTTTCGTCCGGTTACTGGGGGATTTGGGATATTGCCTTGCTTTTCAGCGCTAACTGTGGATTACTGTATGTACCAGCGGAATTCGTGGGATTTAATATTGCCGGTCCGCTACAGAGTCTGCTTGAAACACTGCACATAAAGAGAAATTTGCACTTTTGTGTCTGTGGCTAGTTGTAAATTAGGCAGCTCGGAACTCTCTTCTAAGCTGCTTTATGAATTCTGTGCAAAAACCTACGTCTGTTAGTGCGAACAAAGCTCTGGCAACAGTTGTAATGAAAGTCTCTCATGCAGGCAGCAAAGCAAACAAAACTCTAGTGTTCCCGCTCTACATTTTGAACATTTATTTTTTAAATGGACATTATAGTCACCAGAACAATTACAGCTTAATGTAGTTGTTCTGGTGAGTATTATCACCCTCTTCAGGCATTTTGTGATGTAAACACTAAGAGAAGAGGGAGTGTTTACATTGTTCCCCAGGGACACCACCAGTTGGTCTCAGATGGCCACTGCAAGTACTTCCTGAAGCAGTGCTGCACAGTAGGCAGCACTGCCGTTCAGCGTCTCCACCCTCTGCATGGAGACACTGAGTTTTCCTCAAAGAGACGCATTGAGTCATTGCATCTCTATGAGGGGGTGCAGACTATCGAAAACGGTGTTTGGCCACACCCCAATTCCGCCTCCTTGCTGTTTTCAGCTAATTCAGTGCTTTCTCTAAGGATCGGGCGGGGCCAGCACCCCTGAATACAAGCGCGGCACTGGAAATAAGGTGAGTTTTAAGCCATTCTAAGGGGGGTAGGGGATGAGAAAGCCACCCAAATGGTGGATTAAACACTATACAGGAATACATGTTTGTGTTCTAGACTCTATAGTGTTCCTTTAAAAAAATAAAGCCCACTGGGTTCTGTCACTCTACTCACAACCAGAGTGCACGCAAGACGTGGCTCAATTAGGGACAGGCTGTGGAAACAAAGAAGAGAATGTTGCCTGGTGCTGGCTTTAAGGTAAGTTTTAATCTAATACAGTGGTTCCCAAACTTTTCCGGTTCAAGGCACCTTACTATTTGAGTATTTTTCCAAGGTGCCCCAAGTCAAAAAAAATTCCAGGTTGCATATATGTACTGCACATGCGGCATATACTTGCCTGCAGGTGCAGATCCAGAACCTAATCTTGGGAGGGGCACTGGTAGATTATTTAAAGAAACAATCCAGGAACAATAACCACTACATCAATTTGTAGTGAGTATGGTGCCAGTAGTGCCCTCCCAGGGTAAGTAGTCAAACTATTTAAAAACAGTTTGACAACTTACCTGGTATCTTATGGGAAAGGGGTTGTAGTGTGTGTGGGGTGCAATGTGGGTGTGTCAGGGGTGCAGTGTGGGTGTGTCAGGGGTGCAGTGTGTGCGTGTGAGGGATGCAGTGTGTGTACAGGGGTGCATTGAGTTTGTGAAGGATGCAGTGTGTGTGAGGAGTACAGTATATGGGGGGGCAGGTTGTGAGGGGTACAGTGTGTGTGTGTGTGGGGTAGTGTGTGTGAGGGGTACAGTTTGGGTGTCTGGAGGGGCAGTGTGTTTTTATGTGGGGGTAGTGTGTGTCTGTATGGGGGAGCGGTGTGTGTGTATGGAGGAGCAGTGTGTGTGTGTATGGGGGAGTTATTGTGGGTCTGTGGGGGTAGGAGGGCAAATTCATAAATATATAATTATTTTTAAAATTAATGATTTTCATATCCCCCCCTCTGCTTAACTTTGCCTGGGAGGAGGGACAGTACTAATCCCTGGTGGTCAGGTGTGGAAGGGAACTCTAGCAACTTATGAGGCTAGAGTTTACACTCGCAAGATTCAGAGCATTGCCATGGTAATAGTGGCCACGCTCCAAGCTCGCAAGAGGAGAACCCGGTGGAGCTGCAGGTTAGAGCTCCCCCGGGTCCTCTCTCCCTCCCCTGCCGGCTGCCAACATTACAGTGCTAGCAGGCCAGTGAGGGAGACCCGGCAGGGGAGAGTGAGGCATGGACAGTTCCCGGTGCTATGATCATATGATGATAGCACCAGGAAATATTTTGCGGCACCTCAGCATCAAGTTTGGGAACTGCTAATCTAATAGATTATTTTTTTTAATTTAAGACACCGGAGGCATTGTGTCTGCTTCATTTAATTAAAATTGGTTATTGAGTCCCGAAGTGCTATTAGTTCAATCAGCATTAAACCGTTTTAATGTTTTAGTACTAAATGATAGTCCCCAGCTTTGGCTAATAAGAAACTATTAGCCGGTGCAGCAATGGGCAGTTGTGATTGGCTGGGAATGTCAGTTGACTGCTTATAGACCATCATGGGTATGGCTACAAGGAAGTGTGTGATCTCTGCCTTAGCCACACCTCCAGAAGAGGCGGGACCAGTGATATATTTAGTATCTGTGCTGCCCTAGGCATGACAGAACTCGGGCACCCCCTAATTTACATTTGCCCCACCCATTCCTGTCAATGCCACACCTCTTCCTGTTAAACGACTAACACACACTTTGACTGACAGACACTCTCTCAGAAAAACTGACATACACACACTGATTTGACACAATCACTGACATACACACGATCACTGACACACACAATCACTCAGACACACAGGCACCCTCACAGGCACAATCACTCAGAAACAAACACACACACTCTCACTCACTGACAGACAGCCACACAGTGACAGCCACACTGACAGACATGCACACACAATCACTTAGATACACACTGACAGACACACACACACTCTGACATACACACACTAACAGCTAGACACACCCAATCACTCAGACATACACTGACAGCCACACACACACTCTGACATACACACACTAACAGCTAGACACACCCAATCACTCAGACATACACTGACAGCCACACACACAATCACTCAGACATACACACATTGACCTCCCCTCCCCAAACATTAACCGATTACTTTTTCTATTTTAGTTTAAATCCACCCAGCCTCCCTACCTTTGGGAGTGCTGGGTGGATTTTTTTTGCCTGGGGTCCAGTGGGTCTTCTGACATGAAGGGAGGCAGGCGGTTGGGCGGCTAATTAAATATCTAGGCGGGCGGCACTGGCGAGGGAGCACTGATTAGTGAGCTGTGTTTGCTCAGCTCCCTCGAGCACTGCAGAGTGATGCCGGGAGCCGGAATATGACGCCAGCTGAGCTGAGCAGAGAGCTCACAAATCAGTGCTCCCTTGCCAGGGCCGCCCGTCCGCCTGGATTCTTAGTTAGCCGCCACCATGCTAACAAGGTATTTGCCTGGGCATTTTGGGGCAGCGTTTTTTTTGCCACCCCCTGGAAAGTGCTACCCAAGGCAAATGCCTTGCGGCAAATACGTCCCTGGGCGGGACTATGGGTTGCCAGGGACACTTATTTAGTGTTAACCTGCTCTAACACTGATGGAAGGACAGCGCCAAAGGACTCCAGGAACTATAAGCAAGTGATTGCGGGGCCCTCGCGATCACATGGCCAGAATAGCCGGCAGGGAGACTGGCCGAACTCTCAGGCAATCCCCCAAATACCTGAAAACATTTTTAAAAAGTTAATAAAAGTTTACAAGCACATAAAATAAATGTACCTAACTTAGATTTTATATATATATATATATATATATATATATATATATATATATATATACATACACACACACACACATACATACACTCTCAGACAGGTCCATAAATATTGTGACATCGACACAATTCTAATCTTTTTTGCTATATACACACAACGGATTTGAAATAAAATGAACAAGATGTGCTTTAACGTGAGGGTATTAACATCCAAATCAGGTGGACGGTGGAGGAATTACAACAGTTTGTATATGTGCCTCCCACTTTTCAAGGGACCAAAAGTAATGGGACCATTGGCTGCTCAGCTGTTCCATGGCCAAGTGTGTGTTATTCCCTCATTATCCCATTTACAAGGAGCAGATAAAAGGTACAAGCTAGGAAAAAAATTCCTTCTTGACCCCAGAATGGCAGTCAGATTTATCCTTGGATCAAGCAGTTATTACCCTACATTGAAAGATTATATCCTTGAATATTCTGTTCATGCAAGTATGCATCTAGTAGCCGTTTGAACATCTGTATGGACTCTGATAAAACCACTTCTTCAGGCAGAGAATTCCACATCCTGATTGTTCTTACAGTAAAAAAAACCCTTTCCTTTGCCTTAGACGAAATCTTCTTTCTTCCAGTCTAAACGCATGGCCTCGTGTCCTATGTAAAGTCCAGTTTGTGAATAGATTTCCACACAATGGTTTGTATTGGCCCCGAATATATTTGTATAATGTTATCATATCCCCTCTCAGGCGACGCTTTTCTAAACTAAATAGGTTTAAATTTGTTAACCTTTCTACATAGCCGATATGTTCCATTCCTTTTATTAATTTTGTAGCCCGCCTCTGCACTTTTTCTAGAGCCATAATATCCTTCTTTAGAACAGGTGCCCAAAATTGCACAGCATATTCAATATGGGGTCTTACCAGTGATTTATAAAGAGGCAAAATTATATTCTTGTCCCGAGAATGAATGCCCTTTTTCATGCATGACAATACCATACTGGCCTTGGCCACTGCTGATTGACATTGCACATTGTTGCATAGTTTGTTGTCTATAACAATTCCCAAGTCCTTTTCATGTGTTGTTATCCCTAATTCGCTTCCATTAAGGGTATACATTGCTTGTGTATTCTTTACGCCGAAGTGCATAACTTTGCATTTTTCAACATTAAATTTCATCTGCCATTTGAGTGCCCGGTCCCCCAGTCGATCTAAATCCCTCTGCAGCAGAGTAATATCTTGCTCACATTGTATTGTTTTACAAAGTTTGGTGTCATCTGCAAACACTGAAACATGACTTTCAATGCGGTCTTCAACACCAGAAGACCCGGAAGACCACAGAAAACAACTGTGGTGGATGACCGAAGAATTCTTTCCCTGGTGAAGAAAACACCCTTCACAACAGTTGGCCAGATCAAGAACACTCTCTAGGAGGTAGGTGTATGTGTGTCAAAGTCAACAATCAAGAGAAAACTTCACCAGAGTGAATACAGAGGGTTCACCACAAGATGTAAACCATTGGTGAGCCTCAAAAATAGGAAGGCCAGATTAGAGTTTGCCAAACAACATCTAAAAAAGCCTTCTCAGTTCTGAAAAAACATCCTATGGACAGATGAGACCAAGATCAAATTGTACCAGAGTGATGGGAAGAGAAGATTATGGAGAAGGAAAGGAACTGCTCATGATCCAAAGCATACCACCTAATCAGTGAAGCATGGTGGTGGTAGTGTCATGGCGTGGGCATGTATGGCTGCCAATGGAACTGGTTCTCTTGTATTTATTGATAGTGTGTGTAACGGACCGTTTCAGCACACAAGGGGTTAAACCGTTTAGGCGATCGTCCCCTTCCAGAGATGCAGGCAAAGCTACTGCAGAACACCAATCCACCGAACAGGAAACCATATGAATGCTGTAAACAGCCAAATAGGAAAAACCATACGAATAGGTTTACACTCCTAGCAGTCAAACTGGAACAGCATACAATAAATCCCCCCAAGAACGAGACAAAGCTCTGTGTTGAGGGTCAAGCAGTGAACAGAGAGCTGTGGGTTTATTGTGCTTATGTACACATTCTTACACATTAGTACCACCCACAGGGTTTTGGAACACAACCAATAAACACATACAATACACTCAGATACTCCCACACAAATTCCTCCCCTCTGCATGTGATTCAATTACCTTACACAATGGGTAATGTAATTTAGCAAAAGCAGAAAAATAAATTTTTTCCACATTATTCATAACTTGAAAAGTATGCATCACATTCACATAAAACTTACATTTTCAGAATCAGCATACTCCAAATACAAACATACGTCAAAATCATACAAATTGGTCCAGTGGTTCAAAAGATAGATCGTAGTCCTTTGTGACCACAGGAAGCATGGCTTTTCTGCCCAAAACCAGTTCCACGGAGTCTTCTATCCTGGAGATAATTAGAAGTAATCCAATTATCTCCAATGACAGAGGCAAAACTCCATTGAACACATGGCAGCAAAAAGACGGTAAAACACAATAAAATACACAAGGTTACATTTATGACATAAAATACAGACATGCAACATATCCCCAGATAGCTCAGATCTGAGCGCACATTATTACTGAATGGTGCTCAGAGCACACACATACAGTTCAATTGCCATGGAGCCAAAGTCTTTCCCATAGTCTTTCATTATACGAATGGGCTCCATGGCATAGCTATCTGGGGTATCACTGCTCAAACAGGGCAAGCACCAAATGACCCGGCTTTCTTGTCTTTGCAGGGGGAAATCAAGCCTTTTAACATGGGGCCATAATCCAAAGGCAACAGGCGAGCAACCAGGCTTCTCCAATGCAATGTGGCGAGATTGGTCTCGTCACAATGTGACTGCTGACAAAAGCAGCAGGATGAACTCTGAAGTGTTTCGGGCAATATTATCTGCTCATATTCAGCCAAATGCTTCAGAACTCATTGGACGGTGCTTCACAGTGCAGATGGACAATGACCCAAAGCATACAGCAAAAGCAACCAAAGAGTTTTTTTAAGGGAAAGAAGTGGAATGTTATGCAATGGCCAAGTCAATCACCTGACCTGAATCCGATTTAGCATGCATTTCACTTGATGAAGACAAAACTGAAGGGAAAATGCCCCAAGAACAAGCAGGAACTAAAGACAGTTGCAGCAGAAGCCTGGCAGAGCATCACCAGGGATGAAACCCAGCATCTGGTGATGTCTATGCATTACAGACTTCAGGCTGTAATTGACTGCAAAGGATTTGCAACCATGTATTAAAAAGTGACAGTTTGATTTATGACTTAATATGTCCCATTACTTTTGGTCCCTTAAAAAGTGGGAGGCACATGTAATTCCTACACCGTTCACCTGATTTGGATGTGAATACACTCAAATTAAAGCTGAAAGTATGCAGTTAAAGCGCATCTTGTTTGTTTCATTTCAAACCCATTGTGTTGGTGTATAGAGCCAAAAAGATTAGAATTGTGTCGATGTTTCAATATTTATGGACCTGACTGTATATAAAGGAACACTATAGGGTCAGTAACACAAACATGTATTCCTAACCCTATAGTGCTAAACCCACCATTTAGGTGGCTTAGCCCCTGTCATGTATTCATCCGCTTATAAAAATGTGGATAATGACATTTACTGTCCACACAGTAAAAGTTGTGCCGAGCAGCAACCAAATCCACAGAAGGGTTAATGCTGAGCAGCAATTATGCAAATGGGATCTGGTAACTGCCTTTGGGGTCAAAGGCCGGTTACAGCCTATCAGATCTAGAGGAGGGGTATTTAGGCCCAGTTCTCATCCTGCTCAGTGCCCTGTTGTGGTTTCCCTTGTGGTTGTCCGAGAGCATGTTATTGATTCTAGTTATTTGACTTTGGCATTGTTTTTGACTTCCCTCTTTTCTGGCATCCCTAACTCCTGGCTTTTCCTTATCGTTGTGTCTCTTCCTGTATCCCTTGACCTTGGCTATTCCTGACTATTCTTTGGTATGTTAGTCCGGCCATTCTAAGGTCCGGTATACGTTCCCTATCAGTAAAATTTTACGTGCTGGATCATTCTGTAATCCCGACATCCCCCTTAAAAGCAATGAAAGCTCACCTTATGTCCAATGTCGCGCGGGTCCACCGGCACAAGCCCCACCCCCATGGTGACATCATCACTGTGGCGAAAGTAACCTCACCACGGGCTCTTGGACGGGCCTGCTGGCCAGCCTCCTGCCAAAATACTATGGGCCCTTTAAAAACATATGTGATTTGTTACAAGAACTCATTCTATTGTTATAACCTGACTCTTTTCGGTAAAAACCCTATTCTACCGGCTTGCAGACCATACGAACGGATTATACGAACTATTATAAAGCTTCATTCGTCAGTCCGAACGATGAACCACCCAGCTTTTGGCGTGTGCCACCACTTAACCTCGTCACCCCTTGAAGTACCGAATGGCCGACCACCCTGCAAGTGGAGTGTGCCGCTCATTAACCGCACAAGGCGTTGCGGCCTGCGGTTAACCACAAACTAATTGACGGTCCCAGGGGACTCCCCCCATTCGTATACCATTCCCCAAAGAGAAACTACCGAAAGACTCACTAATGGGGGACCACCTACGTTCTGGCGTGTGGCACCGATTAGAACATTCAACTTGCGGTTAACCGCAGGTTAAGTACCTCTTCCAGGCGGTCGCCGTTCGTATCCCGAATGGCCGGGACAACCAGACTGATAGCGGGGATTCGTGTGACTGTACCCGACCTCCGCTCCATAAGTACGGAGTTGAGATCCCGCTGTCAATTGACCGACCTAAAAACATGGCCGCCATCAGGCGTTCACAATCAAACTGCTGAACAATATCTCTATGGCAGAAACCTCCCGTTCTGTTCGTGGGATCTGGGCGCAATTTGTATGTTGGATGTCCCCAGATTCGAGCTATCGAACGATTCGTGGAATGAACTATATTGTATATAAAATGCCAAAGTTATGTATTTTTACACTGTTTTCTCTGGCACAATAAAGCATGGTCTTTTGGGACGTTTGGAGATAATTAGATTGTATAACCGTTGGCCTCATTATCTCCAAGCTGGGTGGGTACTAGTTTGAAAGATACATTGTATTGTGACTGGTTGAATTGTACCTGTATCCCATCAGGTCCATAGGGGGCTGTCCCTGGACCTGGGGACTTGCATAAATTGCCATACTTGTGTGTCATTAAACTCAGTTTGTTTTATCCTCAACTCGCAGCCTCGACTGTTGTAGGGATCCGGGAATCCTAGCTTTACCATAGCTAGTGGGATATTCTGTATTTACAGGTTTCTACCGATTGGAACCTTGTTCGACTCTCTGACTTCGGGAACCAGGATAGCCAAGCGATCCAACCTCCTGCTAGACCGGAGGCAATCGTAACAATTGGTGGCAGAGGCGTGATCATCCTGGAATTCCTAAGAGGTATAGAACGGATGGAGAGCAATTACGACAAGTTGAAACGCACCACGTTGAAAGATTTACTCAAGAGCTGAGGTGGGAACGCGAGCAACCGACCAAGGAGAGAGTTGATTGCTGACCTAACAAAGATGGATCAGAGCTTCACCATGGCAGAACCCACGATACGACCCAACGATGAAAAGACAAGGATTGTCAGGGAAAGGCTCCACCTATACGGGTCGTATCCTTCCGTGGAACTAATGAAACAGCTAATGGCGGAAGCAGAGGCGGATATCAAAAGAACCCAAGCACATGAGCTCTGCATTTAGACCGCACCACCGGGAACCACCAGCGATGCACACAGCAGCTCCACAGAATTGGCGGGGCAACCGAAGATCCCGTTCACGGCATTCAAGCCGTTCGTGGAAACCGAGATGGGGATTGACGAATTTTTAACCGATTTTGAGCAGCAATGTGCCCTGCATCAAATCCCCACAACAGCTTGGCCGCGTATCCTGGCAGGGAAATTAGCCAGGCGAGTAATGGAGACTTTCAGGACTCTTAGCACCGAGGAAGTGGCTCAATACACGCTCGTCAAAGACACCCTATTTATTACCGCTGGCAATTCCGTGACACCAAAAAGAAAACGAATGATACCCATGCCAAATGGGCACACCGAAAGCAGAGAGCAGCTACTCATTGGATTAACGGGTGTCGAGCAGTCACGGCAGCTGAAGTTCTGGAATTGTTTTTGTTGGTGCATTTTTATGAGGGACTTGAGCAAAAAGACAGAGAATGGTTAAAAGAGCGACGGCCGAGCAATCTCAACGAAGCAGCGAGACTGGCCGATGAACACTGGGACGCTCGGATACAGGAATCAAACAGCTCCCGAACGGTAACTCGCACCGAACCAAGGGACACGTACCGACCAAGCCCACGAACATAGTTTCGTACACCTGTGCCGGCAGGATCTACTTGATACGCCGGACCACCCAGTCACTACAGCCAGGAGCGCTCCTGACCCACCTGCTGCAAATGCAAGCAGCTGGGGCATCTCATTGCTAGCTGTCCCCTCAACAACAATTTCTTATCGAGGAATTACAATAAATCCCCCTCGGGAAATAATTGCCCAGCTTGCGCTCTCTTTATTGAACAGGAAAGCCCTCTAGAAGAATATCTGGGACCCCTACATGAAGCCAATCCCGTATATGCAGCAAATGACAACCGGCAACAACACAGACAGGAGGTATTGCTGGAGGGCCGCCTCACTCAGTGGGGCCACTATCACCCTAGTACAAGGCCGACTGGTCCCAGCACATAAGCGCTCTACGGACACTGTCGCTGTCAGGGTGGCTGGAAGGAACATTTACAAGCTACCCACAGCTCAAGTACATTTGGATTGGGGTGCAGGGAAAGGACTTGTGAGGGTGGAAATTATGGATAATTTGCCAGCTGAGGTTTTACTGGGAAAGAACCTGGGACCCATGACTTCTGCTTATGCTGCTTCATGCGCATCCTGTCACTACCCGGTCGCAAGCCGGAAGGACTCGATACCCTTCACCAGTGCGGGAGACTCAGGTAAGACCAACACAAACTGTGACTCATTACCCTTCACCATTACCCTGGGATACCCCTGCAGCCTTTGAGGCTGAAACTAAAACCGACCCTTCAGAAGTATAGGGAGAAAGCCGATACAGGGACTGGGGCGGTCAGACCACGAGACATTCGCATGGGAGCAAGGCAGACTATACAGACATACCGAAAAGAAAGGGAACCATAGGAGACAGCTGGTCATTCCCCACAAGTATAGACAAGATATACTCCGGGTGGGTCATGATATCCCATTTGCCGGACATTTAGCGGTAACCGGTACCCTCAAACGTATCACCCATACCCCTCTTCTGGCCTGGGGTACATGCAGATGTGCGAACATACTGTAACAAATGTGAGGTCTGCCAAAGGGTAGGCAAGAGAGGGGACCACCCTAAGGCATACCTCGTGAACATGCCCATTATAAAGGAGCCCTTTAGCCGGGTAGCCATCGACCTAGTAGGGCCAATCACCACGCCCAGCCAATCCAGGAAAGAGCTATATTCTTACCGTGGTGGACTACGCTACACGCTACCCAGAGGCAGTGGCTCTATCCAATATCCAGGCAGACACCGTAGCGAACGCCTTAGTACAGGTCTTCTCTCAGGTAGGATTCCCTCGGGAGATTCTATCTGACAGAGGTACTCAGTTCACTGCTGAACTAACGCAACAGCTATGGCATGTCTGCCAAATAAAATCCCTTCTCAGCTCCCCGTATCATCCTCAGACTAATGGGCAATGTGAGAGGTTCAATGCAACCCTCAAACAAATGTTAAAAACCTTCACCCAGGAACATAGAGACTGGGAACGTTTCCTGCCGCATCTCCTGTTCGCTTACCGGGAGGTACCCCAGGAAACAACCAGATTCTCTCCGTTCGAACTGCTATACGGACGTAAGGTGCGGGGCCCCCTGAACCTGATCCGTGAGCACTGGGAGGGAGACACGGAGAACGCTGGAGTCCCCATCGTACCTTATGTACTGGAGCTTAGGGATCGCATGGAGCAACTAGCCAGGTCAGTCCAGGCGGCCCAGAAGCAACAGAAAGTCCGGTATGACAGGAAGGCGTGGCGGAGGAGTTTTTGTATAGGACAAAAGGTTATGGTGCTCAAGCCTGTTAAAGCAGACAAGTTGCAAGCAGCCTTACCTTACCAGGTACCTTACCAGGTAGTGGTACTACCTATGTGATTGCCAGCTGTCACGATGAGAACCTAAGAAAGATATTCCACGTGAATATGTTGAAGGAATATCTTCAACGACCAGAGGATGTGTCAGCCATATGTAGCCCTGCATCCGAAAACCCGATAGTCTTCCCATACCCGACCTATTAACCCAGAATTCCCAGTCTGATGTAGTGAGCCAAGTACAGGTAGGAGACCGACTTAACCCAGTAGAGAGGGAGCAGTTACACAAACTGCTCCAAGAGAAACAGGCAATGTTCTTACAGGAACCAGGATACACTGACTTAGCCACCCACCAAGTAGACACCCCAGGGCAGCAACCCTTAAGACGGGCCCCCTACCGGATACCCGAGGCGGTCCGGGCAGGGGTTATTGAATCCTCCGATAGTCCATGTGCGTCCCCGATGGTACAGGTACCCAAGAAAGATGGTACTACCAGATTCTGTGTGCACTATCGGAAGCTCAATGATAAAACCGTGACCGACGTCTACCCCATGCCCAGGGTAGATGAGTTGCTGGACCAGATAGCCAGGGGAAACTATCTAACTACCATTGACCTCTGTAAAGGTTACTGGCAAATTCCCCTGGCCAGAGAAGCTATCCCCAAGTCGGCATTCGTCACCCCGTTTGGCTTATACCACTTTAAGGTTATGCCATTCGGGATGAAGAATGCCCCAGCTATATTCCAGCGCTTGGTGGATAGACTCCTTGATGGCTTCCAGGATTTTGCCTGTGCATACCTGGATGACATAGCGATCCATAGTGAGTCCTGGGAGGAACACTTAGCCAATGTAGGAATGGTCTTGGATTAGATTTGGGCCGCGGGCATGACCCTGAAACCAGAGAAATGTAATTTTGGAATGGCTGAGGTACAGTACCTGGGCCACCGAGTAGGATGCAGGAAACAGCGACCGGAGATAGAGGCGGTCGCAAACTGGCCAACTCCTCACACTAAGACCCAGGTACTCGCCTTCCTGAGCACCTCTGGGTACTACAGAAGGTTCGTACCAGACTATAGTGCTATCGAAAAACCCCTTACTGACTTAACGAAGAAAAACCTTCCTCGACAGGTCCTGTGGTCTCCCACTGTGAAACAGCTTTTCAAACACTAAAAGTAATGCTCCTGTCTTGGCTGCCCCAGCCCCTAATCGACGTTTTATTGCCCATACAGACGCTTCCATGTTCGGGCTGGGAGCTGTCCTCAGCCAAGTAGGAGACGACAAGAATTCACTCTGGTTACAGACCATAACCCGTTATCAACCGGGTCGCTGGGGATAATGGCCGACTGTTACGCTGGAGCTTATCTTTGCAACCGTTTAATTTTACTATCACCTACCGACCTGTGAAACAGAATGGCAAACTGATCTCAGTCCAGCATAACTCCCCAGTCTGGACAGCCTTAGTCTGCCCCGAAAAGGGGTCAGACAGTGTCTGTCAGAGTGTTTCACAAGCATTGTTACAAAAACTCATTCTATTGTTATAACCTGACTCTTTTCGGTAAAAACCCTATTCTACCGGCTTGCAGACCATACGAACGGATTACACAAACTATAATAAATCTTCATTCGTCAGGACGAACGATGAACCACCCAGCTTTTGGCGTGTGCCACCACTTAACCTCGTCACCCCTCGAAGTACCGAATGGCCGACCACCCTGCGAGTGGAGTGTGCCGCTCATTAACCGCACAAGGCGTTGCGGCCTGCGGTTAACCACAAACTAATTGACGGTCCAAAGGGACTCCCCCCATTTGTATACCATTCCCCAAAGGGAAACTACCGAAAGACTCACTAATGGGGGACCACCTACGTTCTGGCGTGTAGCACCGATTAGAACGTTCAACTTGCGGTTAACCGCAGGTTAAGTACCTCTTCCGGGCGGTCGGTAGCCGAACGGCGGCCACCTAGGAGAGCCTCTAATTACCGATTGCAACATTGTTGCAATCGGTTAACGAGCACCACACGTCCCTCTCTGTGTGGGCTATTAGGGGGTAGCTCATTCGGTTCACGAACAGCCTGTAAAGTGGCTGTTCATGAAACGAAACACATGAATGCTAGCGGCTTTTGGCTGCTAGCAGACAAATGCAATATACACATACAATAATACACAGGGTACAGCCAGGGAATGCAGGAAGTTATGAGAATAATATATGCAACCTTTTTCTACATATAGTCCATGTTATCACAAGTGGCTAGTGTTTGCCACACCTGGGATGTCTTCTTTAAGAAATAGTATGCCTTTATGGTGTAGTTGTAATATGTAGCCTGCTCAAGTGCTTCAAAGTGGGACAGGGACGCATCAAAACCCTCCATGAAAATTCACACTTAAAAACCTGAACTTGTCACGTCTCTTTTACAGCACTGTAACTTCACAAAATAGTGTCTAGGTCATACATTAGGCATATTGTTTTACTCAGAAGGTGTAATTGAGTAGAATTTGGGGATTTTTATGACAATGGTACATATTAAGTGTAAGAAATACTCAGGAAAAATGCAACATATGTAAAAATGCCATTCCCCCCTTCCCCACCACAAACATTGACATAAATTGGTGAAAAAATGGTAACAAGTTAAGGCACAATATACACCATATAAGATACCCTGAGTTGTCGGCTTCATCAAATGCAACCCCTCTGTGGAGTTATTTGAACAGTCACACTGCTAGAATACCCTAAAATGAGACATAGGCCCGTCTAATCCATCTACGAAAATTCTAATTATAGAAACTGAAATAGCCTGGTCTCTTATATGGCACTGTAGCTTTACAGAAAATGTTATACTCAGCAGATGTAGCTGAATACAATATGGGGTTCTGTGCATGAATAGCACACACCAGCTTTACGAAATACACATTACAAAATCCTTGTTATATGTTTATATGTCAAAATAAAGAAAAAAAAAAAACCTACAATTTTACTCCAATATTTAGCAGAAATTGGCGGTGAAATGTAGAAAGTGTCAAAACCACCTTAGGTAAATAACCTGTGATTAGTGATGTCCCGAACGGTTCGCCGCACATGGACAGCATAGCAGTCCAAGTCAGTGCCAGCAGGGGGAGTGCCCGGAATGACAGGTTCTCCCCTGCTGAAATAAATAAGATAAATGTTAAAACTGTGTAAAATAACATTATACAGGTATGTGCTGAGATCTATATACACACAGTCCAAGTGTAATATTAATATAATTATAAATATCTATTAATATCAAAATACACATACAATAATATTGATTAAATATATATCATTTTCATTATATATATTTGTAACAAAATCCCCTATTTACAGACCATACGAACAAGCCTGTTCGGTTATTTGGAGGATTACAGCGGGATTTCGTGGAAATAGCAATAAAAGCGAATAAACTACCGAACCACCGTCCTCCCACTGTGGTCGTGTGGCGCCTATTGACCACCCTGACTGTTGCGGTTAACCACAGACTAATTGGGGAATAGCTGGTGGTCCGCGTTCGTTTACCGAACACGTGGCAATCGCCATTTTGTATTGTCGAACGAGCAGCGGTAAATGGCGAGGATTCCCTGGAACTGATTTCGGCTACTTGTTTTGTCGAACACCGCTGCTACCTTCTCCCATCCTCGTTCGTACGGTGGAAAAACACACGAATGAAGGGGATACTACTTCATTCGTGCGCTGAAAGTATGCGAAAGTGACCGACCCCAGATAGCTATAGTATGGAACTTGCAGTCGGCTACAAACACACGAACGGCCGGTGAAAGTCAAACTTCAGTCGACGATTCTGAGAACTGTGTTCGTGGGATCTGAGCGCTATTCGCCTAGAATATGCCCTCAGATCCAAGCTATCTGGGGATATGTGGAACTTAAAGTTTATGTTGTGTAAAAAGAAAGTTATATATTTTTATTCTGTTTTGCTGAAATAAGAAAAGCCATGTTTCTTTCTTCCTGGAGATAATTAAGGCTCTCTTTGCTACCTTAAGTTAATTATCTCCAGGATGGAAAAGAGGGAGTGATTTATGTAAAAGGGGAGTGCTTATGCTATAGCCACTGTGATTGGTTACTGTGTTACTTTTGTCCCAGTCTTCCATCTGGTCCCCTAGGGGAGTGTTCAACAGGTGGAAGACCTGCATAAATACCGGGCGGGTAGCCCACAGTAAATCAGATCGTTTTACCCCTTCATGAAGTCTCGACTCATATTTGGGGGATTGGGAGTTATAATCACTTCGTTTCAGCTGGATTTCGGGAGAAGCTGCAAGGATCATTGCTGCACGAATAGAAGGATCCTTTACAATTTTATTTGTGCTCAGAATTTATCTAATACGTAATGGAATGTAGAAGGAGAAGCAAAGTTGGTTGAGGTGTGCCGAAACCAACGTACGAGTAGGCCTGTAAAAGAAGGCAAAGAAGGATTAAAAAAAAAACAAACACTTTATTGCAAGTTTATACAGCGTGGGTACTGAAAGCATGTAAGGAGTTTTACTCTGATTGAGATAATATATATAAAAACTGAGCTGAGGATTACCTGTGGCCCCATCACTTAGTGATGTAGACTGGGTTGTAAGAACTTGAAGCAGCACTTTTGCGAAAAAGAGAGACCAGCGAAGGAAGCCATGATGTAGCTTACTTTAATGGAAGGGTTAGACGGAGTGACAGCATAGGAGGTATAAATAAGATGCTTGATTTGTAGGTTGAGAGGAAGAGGCAAACATTACAATACTTTAACTGCAACAGTCATGAATCAAGCAAACTACTTGTGACATGTTACAATATACAAAGCCCTAGCGTCAGTGAGAGTAGTCGTGAAACTGCGTGAAGCGTGCGTAACTGTACAAAGTGTAATTGTGTGCTTAGTCCAAGATTAGCTCATGGAATGGTGGTATCCTGGATGGTACGTAGTGGGTGCCTGAAAGAAGACCTTGAACTGAGCGTGAAAGAGCGTCAGCGGCTGTGTTGTGGACGCCGGGAATGTAAAGGCAGACTAAAAAGAGCTGAGAGGTTGCTGCCAGCCAAGTCAGCCTGTAAAATCAGCCACAAAATGGTTACTGAGGATGGCCGCCCGAACATAGACCAGGTGCCATTGTGAAGGGTGACTAGGTAGTAGATTAAAGGCGTTGGATAAGTCCATCTTGCTCAACCAAGCCTTACTACTTACTGAAGTGATAGCTTGTATGGCATGGTCGATTTTCGTAGTGCAGTGAGAACTTCATGGCGGGAATGAGGGAGTTTGATGCTGGGAATGGATGTAGAGTGCGGTTGCGGAAGAGGTCTATGATCAGTATTAGGGTATAGTTAATGGCTACCTCGATGGGAATGGTACGCCAAGATGAGAAGTGTAAAGACCGGAAGGAGGCAATCGTGAAAACAGCGTATGACTGCTGTGGACAGGTGGTCCACCGTAAGAGGGTCAAAGGGTGCAGATAATAGGTTAGCGCACACGAGTGTACCTGTGGGAATGGCGATAAGACCCGTGTGAACCCCTGTGAGAAACCCGGCACCAGAATCTACCAGATGCCTAGCTGGGTGTAAATGCAGATAGTATTCCAGGATATCAATGTTGACCTTAGTTGGGCGTATTTTAGGTGACAGACGGTCTGCGTATGTGGATTAGGTGTGGGTTCTGGAGCAGATGTGCAAAACCCTGCATGCTGTGAAATAGCATACTCCCGTATCAAAGAATAGTGCACCCGAGCCTTCCCCAGAAATGAAATGTCAACCCAGCTAGTCCCTCTGCTGATCATTATGGAATGTACCAGAATCCCAGGAACTGAGGGTAGAAGGGGTGAGGGATTCCTTAGGAGACCCAGGCCAGACTGGCGTGCTGGGTATTCCGTCCAACAGCAGACCGATTGTTGGGACATTCTGAAAAAGAAATAATGATTTGGATAAGTAATGTGTCTTAGAGGTGAGGATGAGACCTTCGGAGAACTAGCCTGCTAGCTAGTGCCGAGGCGAAGAATTTACCTAGAACCAAGTGAATTTTGTGGCCACTAGAACGTGGTGGTAGGATGTCGGCCTCTCTGTACTGTAAGAGATTCAAAACGTGTGGCCGTGACTTGGGAGGCCCTAACTGTAGCCTTAAAGAAGGGTGAGCGAGGTGGCTAACTATGATTTGGTCATGGGGCTGAAACCTCCGTGTATGAGGTGGGGTGTAGCACTCGCGGGACCGTAGGATTACTTAGGATAGCTAAGGCCAGCGCCTAACCCTCAATGCCAGTTCTCTAGCCTAATGGGGATTGTTTCTTAGAATGGTGTGATATAACGTATGTAGATACTTAAACCTTGAGTGTTTGTCCTCTTTCTTTGATGCTCAGGAACGGGCCCGGTCCGAGAAACCTTAGGGAAAAAGATGCTAGTGGGCCTGAGGCGTGCCACTGGTATAATGAGTGTAAAAATGCTGAACGTATGGGTAGGTGTGTATCAGAGATACCGTAATGTAAGAACTGGGGTAAGCTAAGGGACCTGAACGTTGGTCCGTCAATTAGAGACAAGCCCCTGGGGTCCCACGATGTGAATTTTATTTGAATGAAACGAAGGCAAAGTGAGGCCTTGAGGAGAAATGTAACCGTAGTGAGTAAGATTCCCAATACCTGATACTGCAAAGCAGGGAACCAGGTAGCCTGTAGGTTGTCGAAAAATAGAACGAATTTACACATATATTTTTTTTTATTTATTTTGTAATTTTATTTTTAACTGTAATTTAAAATAAATATATATTGATTTCAAAATACATGTAGAACGAAATATATATATCTATATACATAAGTATATACATATATATCACTATATACACACACACACACACACACGTATATAAATAAAAATAATTTTAAAAAATTATATACATATAATTATATACACTGTCACAAGCACTGTCCAAAATTGGCGTTCAAATTAGTTTTTTGCATTCAAATATTAACACTAACTTTGGCCAGTGTTTGTGACACTGGACATACCCCATTTGCAATACCTTGGGTTGTCTACTTTTGCAAATGGTATGCCATCAGGGGAGTAAATCTTATTCCTGGGCTACCATACGGTCTCAAAGGCAACGTAACCAACCTGGCAAATTTCAATGTGAAAAAAATGAAAAATGTAACGTGCTATATTTGAACCTGTAACTTCCCAAAACGCCATAAAACCTGTACATAGGGGGTACGGTCTTACACGTGAGACATCGCTGAATAGAAATGTGTATTTTATTGCAGTAAAAGCAAACAGTATTATGACATTCACAGTTAGAATGTCATGTAGAACTATTTTTTTTATAAAAATTTTATTTTCTCCCATTTTTTTTATATTTTATAAAATTATGTTTCATACCTAAATATTTGATGTTAAATGAAAGCCCTGTTTACTCTGAATAAAATAAGAGGGGGTGCACATAATATGAAAGAGGCGAATTACGCCTGAACAGACATGTAGCGCAAATTCAAGTTTTTGTTTACATTTTGTTTTGATCACAACGTATACATTTGGCTCAGTCCTTAAGGGGTTAACAACAATCACTGACATATGCAGCCACGGCTAGCTCACATCCAGCTCTAAATCTAAGGGAGAGAACACCAACCAAATGGGGAACGCAGTGATCAGGTATGGATCAAATCTAGCATTAAACAGCATGCAACCAAATGGGAGCTCAATGATCAGGTATGGATCAAATCTAGCATTACCCAGCATGCAACCAAATGGGAGCTCAATGATCAGGTATGGATCAAATCTAGCATTACCCAACATGCAACCAAATGGGAGCTCAATGATCAGGTATGGATCAAATCTAGCATTACCCAGCATGCAACCAAATGGGAGTTCAATGATCAAGTATGGATCAAATCTAGCATTACCCAACATGCAACCAAATGGGAGCTCAATGATCAGGTATGGATCAAATCTAGCATTACCCAGCATGCAACCAAATGGGAGCTCAATGATCAGGTATGGATCAAATCTAGCATTACCCAACATGCAACCAAATGGGAGCTCAATGATCAGGTATGGATCAAATCTAGCATTACCCAACATGCAACCAAATGGGAGCTCAATGATCAGGTATGGATCAAATCTAGCATTACCCAGCATGCAAAATGGGAGCTCAATGATCAGGGATCAAATCTAGCATCAACCAAATGGGAGCTCAATGATCAGGTATGGATCAAATCTAGCATTACCCAGCATGCAACCAAATGGGAGCTCAATGATCAGGTATGGATCAAATCTAGCATTACCCAACATGCAACCAAATGGGAGCTCAATGATCAGGTATGGATCAAATCTAGCATTACCCAACATGCAACCAAATGGGAGCTCAATGATCAGGTATGGATCAAATCTAGCATTACCCAGCATGCAACCAAATGGGAGCTCAATGATCAGGTATGGATCAAATCTAGCATTACCCAGCATGCAACCAAATGGGAGCTCAATGATCAGGTATGGATCAAATCTAGCATTACCCAGCATGCAACCAAATGGGAGCTCAATGATCAGGTATGGATCAAATCTAGCATTACCCAACATGCAACCAAATGGGAGCTCAATGATCAGGTATGGATCAAATCTAGCATTACCCAGCATACAATCATATGAGAACTCCGTGATCAGGTATGGCTCACATCTAAAATTAGCCCCACCATAAGAACCTGTAGATGATGCATCAGGGGACTCTGTCTCCAATTCGTCCACCTCCTGCATCCTGCTTGCTGCAAACAAACAGAAACAATGTTATGTTAAAAAGTACAAACACACTAAAATGAAGTATATAATGCACACAAAAAAGCAAGTTTATTATATGTAACAAACTAAAGTAAATAGTTAGTGTATAAGATAGAACAGTATAGGGCGGCACAGTCTACGCACAGTATAGGGCGGCACAGTCTACGAACAGTACGGGGCGGCACAGTCTACGAACAGTACGGGGCGGCACAGTCTACGAACAGTACGGGGCGGCACAGTCTACGCACAGTACGGGGCGGCACAGTCTACGCACAGTACGGGGCGGCACAGTCTACGCACAGTACGGGGCGGCACAGTCTACGCACAGTACGGGGCGGCACAGTCTACGCACAGTACGGGGCGGCACAGTCTACGCACAGTATGGGGCGGCACACAGTCTATACACAGTATGGGGCGGCACACAGTCTATACACAGTATGGGGGGGCACACAGTCTATACACAGTATGGGGGGGCACACAGTCTATACACAGTATGGGGGGGCACACAGTCTATACACAGCATAGGGCGGCACACAGTCTATACACAGTATAGGGCAGCACAGTCTATACACAGTATAGGGCAGCACAGTCTATACACAGTATAGGGCAGCACAGTCTATACACAGTCTATACACAGTATAGGGCAGCACAGTCTATACACAGTAGACGGCGGCACAGTCTATACACAGTAGAGGGCGGCACAGTCTATACACAGTAGAGGGCGGCACAGTCTATACACAGTATGGGGCGGCACAGTCTATACACAGTATGGGGCGGCACAGTCTACACACAGTATAGGGCGGCACAGTCTTTACACAGTCTATACACAGTATAGGGTAGCACAGTCTATACACAGTATAGGGCAGCACAGTCTATACACAGTATAGGGCGGCACAGTCTATACACAGCATAGGGCGGCACAGTCTATACACAGCATGGGGCAGCACACAGTCTATACACAGCATGGGGCAGCACACAGTCTATACACAGTATGGGGGGCGGCACACAGTCTATACACAGTATGGGGCAGCACAGTCTATACACAGTATGGGGCAGCACACAGTCTATACACAGTATGGGGCGGCACAGTCTATACACAGTATGGGGCAGCACACAGTCTATACACAGTATGGGGGCACAGTCTATACACAGTATGGGGGCACACAGTCTATACACAGTATTATGGGAGCCTTTGGTCTATACTACACAGTATGGGGCGGCACACAGTCTATACACAGTATGGGGCCTTTAGTCTATACACACACGGTATGGGAAATGGCTGATCTATACACAGTATGGTGACACAGTCTATACACACGAGTATAGGCGGCACAGTCTATACACGGTATGGGGCGGCACAGTCTATACAGTATGGGGCAGAACGGTCTATACACAGTATGGGGCCGAACAGTATACACGGTATGGGAAGCACGGTCTATACACCGAGAGTATGGAAGTGGCACAGTCTATACAGTATGGGGCTGACACAGTCTATATACACAGTATGGGGGCGGCACAGTCTATACACAGTATGAGGCAGAACAGTCTATACACAGTATGGGGAAGCACAGTCTATACACGAGTATTTGCTGCAAATAAGCAGAAGCCTACCCAGGTGTTAAACATTCCTAGTGGGCGGTGATTTAAGGAGTTATATAAGGCTTGGTCTCATTAGCTTGTCTAATATAGCTTGGTGTTACTTCCAAGTGCTGTTTCTAAGTGTCTAGTTGGAGATATTCTGGAGAGTTTTACAGAAGCTTCAACTGTCTAAGAGTTGTGCTAAGAGCTTTCTTTTCTACTGTTACAGGTAGATTCATCTGTAGGAAAAGGTTACTGATTGCCCAAGGTTTGAATTCCTGTTGGTAATTATAAGGTATTTGATTTGATTAAGCTAGTTACTTGCTGGTTATTGCTGGTTAATTAGCTATTGTTTGCAAATAAGCAGAGGCCTACCCAGGTGTTAAACATTCCTAGTGGGCGGTGATTTAAGGAGTTATATAAGGCCTGGTTCCATTAGCTTGTCTAATAAAGCTTGGTGCTATTTCTAAGTGTGTAGTTGGAGATATTCTGGAGAGTGCTGCTTCTAAGTGTGTGGTTGGAGATAACCTGGAGGTAATCTGAGGTATTCAGGAGGATAAATAAAAAGTTAAGATTTGTTTGATTTAAATTATTTTCCTCATTGGAATGGCAGACTTAGTTCAGTGTAATAGTTGCTATGCATTTGTTTCACGTTCCACTTTTTGGAGATTTGGTTGTTGTCTAATCTGTAGACAGTTCTCTATCTTGCGGCAGGAGATTGTATTTTTGAAGTCTGAGATTTGTAAATTATCTGGTAAACAAACTCAGACTGGAACTGCTGCAAAGCCACTGCCGCAGAGACATACTAGGAATGGCAGATGGATTACTGTAGGATCTGGTAGACTTACAGTTGTGGATAAAAGGCATTTTGCACAGTCTGTTGCTCTACATAATTCATTTTCTGCATGTTACGAGTGGTGTTATGGAGAGGCACTGAGAGTAGTGTTGTTGTAGAGAGAGGCACGGAGGCTAGTGGTGTTGTGGAGAGAGGCACTGAGGCTATGGTGAGGCCTAATAGAAAGCAGTTGTTGTTGTGGAGGTGTGGAGATGGACAATGGTGGTCTTGTGAGGTGTCTTGCCGGAGCTACTGCTCACAGAGACAGGAGACGTATCTGTAATATTGTTAAGCAAGCAAAGCAGGAAGGGGAATTGGATGTACTTGTCCATCTAGGGACAAATGACTTGGCTTGCAATGAGGTTTCAGAGGTTAAGGAAGTTTTTAGTGGTTTTTGCCAATGATATACGGCAGATTGCTTCCACACTGTCATTCTCTGAAGTTCTGCCTGTGAATAACACTCAGAACGACGGGCAGATGCGTATTAGGGACTTTAATTTGTGGCTTGGTGAATGGTGTCGGGAGCAAGGATTTGGCTTTATTTCTCATGGTAGCTCTGTTTGGAATGGAGATAAGCTATACAAAAAAGATGGTTTGCATCTTTCTCAAAAGGGTACAAATGTTCTTAGTGAGCAGTTCAGAGGTTTTGCTAAGATGTATTTAAACTAGGAGGGGGGGCAAAAGGGTGATAAAACCTCAATCCAATTGTCCCCCAAAACAAGGACAGAAAGTGCCTGTAGCAAGTGTGATAAAAAATGATAAGCTTAGAGTCATGTCTTCAAATGCTCGCAGTTTAGGGAATAAGATCCATGAACTTGTGACAATAATGGCAACTGATAGTGTAGATTTAGTCGCTGTTACTGAGACATGGTATAATGAGAAAAATGACTGGGACATAGCAATACCAGGGTACTCTTTATATAGGAAAGATAGGGAAGGCAAGAAAGGGGGAGGGGTGGCCTTGTATGTGAAGGATAGCATAAAATCTAGCCTAATAAAAGTTAGTGAGGCAAACAGAGTCCGTTTGGGTTACGTTAGAATTTAGTAATCACACAGTAACTCGTGTCGGTGTGATTTATAGGCCCCCAGGACAAATTGAAGAGTTAGATAATCTACTAGTTGAGGAAATAGCTAAAATGACAATGAAGGGGGAAGTTATCATCATGGGTGACTTTAATCTTCCTGATGTAAATTTGAAAACAAAATTAGCTACTTGTGCCAGGAGAACACATATTCTAAACTCCCTACTGGGATTGTCTCTAAAACAAGTTGTTGAGGAGCCAACTCGTAAAGAGGCCATACTAGATTTAGTGTTAACAAATTGAGATTTGGTATCAGATATTACTGTAGGTGAATGTTTAGGATCCAGTGATCATCAGTCAGTGTGATTTAATATAAGAACAGTGACTGAGTCACACCACACAAAAACAAAAGTTTTAGACTTTAGAAAAACAGACTTTTCTAAAATTAGAATATGGGTAGAGGAGTCATTATCAGACTGGAGCAATTTAAATGGAGTCTAAGAGAAATGGGATTATTTAAAAGTTGCACTACTGAAGGCAACAGAAAATTGCATTAGGCTTGTCAGTAAAAGCAAAAATTCAAGAAACCACTGTGATACTCCGCAGATGTGGTCAAAATAGTTAAAAACAAAAAGTTAGCATTTAGGAATTATAAAAAAAACCAGAGTGAGGAAGACAAAATGATCTATAAGATTAGGCAGAAAGAGGCTAAGCAAGTTATAAGAGCTTCCAAATCAAACACAGAAGAGAAAATAGCACAGTCAGTAAAAAAGGGGGATAAAACATTTTTTAGATACATAAATGAGAAAAGAAAAGTAAAACAAGGATTAGTTAGATTAAAAACAAAAGGAGGAAGGTATGTAGAAGAGGATAAAGGTCTAGCTGACTGCCTCAATGGATATTTTTGTTATGTATTTACAGATGAAAATGAAGGAAAGGGACCTCAGTTGAGAAAAAGGATAAAGGAGTCATTTATTACACGTGAGTTTACAGAGGAAGAGGTCTATACACAGTATGGGGCGGCACACAGTCTATACACAGTATGGGGGGGGCACACAGTCTATACACAGTATGGGGGGGGCACACAGTCTATACACAGTATGGGGGGGGCACACAGT